AAATAAATATTACATTTTGTATGTATAATTAATAAATATAAGATTGAACCATTAATTCGAATTAATTGCGATGGTTCTGTTAACTACATCATTTCTGTACGATTTAGTGCTTTTTGGAGTGATTCTTGTGACCACTTTTATTTTTTACTATAATTACAAAGTAAGCTATTGGAAAAGAAAAGGTGTTATTAATAGAAAAACAGTTTTTCCTTATGGAAATGTAGAGAAAATTGTCAAACAACAAGTTCTTTTTGGTTTGGAATTTAACAGTATGTACAAGTAAGTAATTTTCACATTATGTAAAGGGTCATCTAATGAAGATGTCCTTTATAATAAAAAAACGAAAAAGGTTGTATTTCTTTTTTTAAATTTAAGCAATATCATTTTTTATAAAACAGTTTGTCAGGCAAATACCCCAATAACATTAAAGTTTCACGTTTTATTTGTAAAATTTGAAACTTTAGAGATTTTTTAATATATTTGTGAATTAAAGTCTACCTTACGGTCAAGAAAATAATAGAGTGTGAAGTGATAAGTGACAGCATACCTGGCGGACGAACCACCTGACAATAGCAACCATTCTACGTGAAGAACACCAAAGCCCAAGGGGCATTGTAGTAGAAATACGATATTGCCAAATTCTTGCTGTTATTAACATGCCATTATAAAATCTAAAATATTATCATTTTTTGTGTTTATTATTGTTAAATGCTTTTTTCATACAATGTTAAAGATCTTAGATATATTCTCAAAGCACTTTCCAAGGACTTAACTGTAGTAAAAGCTAAATATGTTCTAGTGATTTTAAAAAGAAAGGTGAAAGATATGGAGGTGGATATCTCTTCACGAAACCCGTATTTATTCCTTGCGACTTGGACCTTGTTAAAGACATTCTACAAACAAATTTTAACCATTTTTCGAGTCATGGAATATACTGCAACGAAAAAGGAGACCCCCTATCAGGCCATCTATTTGCTTTGGATGGCGAAATATGGAGAAATTTGAGGATCAAATTGACCCCAACATTTACATTAGGTTATAAATGCAGAACTTTATTGAAAGCAAACTAAAAACCTTGTTCTTTTGTAGGCAAAATGAAGATGATGTTTAAAAGTCTTAACGAATGTGGCGACATTTTTAAACAAGTCATCGAAAAACACTCAGAAACTGGAGACAAATTTGAAATTAAAGACCTGACAAGTCGTTTAACTATCGACATAGTTGCATCTGCAGCTTTTGGTTTAGATACAAACACCATCGAAGACCCCGAAAACGATTTCGCCACAAAATGCACGACATTTGTCGCGCCGGGCATACAGACATTCATTGCCCAAGTCTTGCAGTTTTTTCTGCCACATTGGTTTTTAAGGATGGCTAATTTTAAGATTGTGGACCAGACGTTGGCAACTTTCTTCTTAGATGTCATAAGGAAAACTGTGGACTACAGAGAAAAGAACAATGTTTACCGTAAAGATTTTCTTCATTTACTATTGCAATTAAAGAACAGAGGTGTGGTATCGGATGATGGGAAAATATTTCCTCAAAATGATGGCGAGAAAAACAGCGATACTTTCATAACATTTAACCAGCTGGCGGCACTATGTTTTGGTTTTTATTTTGCCGGTTTTGATTCTTCCGCTAATGTAATCAGTTATGCCATTTTTGAGTTGGCTTCTAATCCTGATGTTCAAAAGAAATTACAAGCAGAAATAAAGGAGGTTCTTGGAAAATATGATGGAGAGTTAACGTATGATTCTCTCAATGAAATGAAGTATATGCATATGGCTATATTGGGTGAGAACAAATCGGAGTCCTAACTCTAACTTTATACTGTTTTTTTTGCAGAAACTTTAAGGAAGTACCCTTCAGTACCAATACTTCCAAGACAGTGCACAAAGGACTACAAAATCCCCGGTACGAATAAGGTCATTAAAAAAGGTACCACCACCTTTATTCCAACCATGGCAATACACTATGACCCAGACATTTATCCTGATCCTGATAAATTCGACCCCGAAAGGTTTTCAGATGAAAATAAGGCAAAAAGACATCCATCAACCTGGATGCCTTTTGGATTGGGGCCTAGGGAATGCATAGGTAACAAAGTATTTTCTTCCTACAAAATTTAACCAACTTCATATTGTTGAAATTAGAATATAAATGTTATAATATTGTTTTTTTCTTTTATAGGATTAAGATTTGCCCTTATGCAAGTAAAAGTATGCCTTGTGAAAGTTTTAAAAGATTACGACGTTACTTTGAACGAAAAAACTATTGTGCCCTTAACATTCCAAAAGCAAGGAATATTTTTGGTTTCGGAAGGTGGAATATGGATTAATGTGTCAAAACAAAATTATTAAATTTTTAATTTTTAAAATAACAATAATTAATATTTTAGTATTTAGGTCAAGTTTAACATAAAATTAAGGAACAGATTTGAAAAGAGCAGGTCTCAATTAGTAAACCCTGAAATTTACTCGAAAATCCGGCCGTTATTAAGGAAGTTACGTAGCTTCAAAATCAGCTTCGAAGCTATGTAACTTCTTTATTTATAGTCCGATTTTGATGCAATTTTTAGGGAATATTCTCTTAAATAAGCTTATATTGGAATTGTTATTAATTTGTGAGTATCTCTGGATTCGGTAGATAATTTTAGATACTCTAGGGATAAAATATAAGGTTTTTCTACCGAAATTTTGCAGCAACAATCTAATAATAAAATAAAATATAAAATAAAACACTGTGAAATTATTTATTTATTTATTCATTATAGTTATGTATAAGCATTGAAGATTCTATATGTTTGTAATAATAATAATTGCACCAAGAAATATAATGTACAAATAGTTGGAAATATATTAAATAACAATGTGAGTTAAATCCTAGAAATATTTAAGAAATATTTACAATATATATAATCACTATCAATGTGAAGTGCTAATGCCAAAATTCACCTACAAAAAGTTCACTATTTTAGGACTTTTAGAATAAAATTGTATTTCATAAAAAGGCCTGGAATGTCGGCGATTTTAATATTATTGCTTAAAACTTGGGGGGCCTTTATTTAATCAACAATATGTGGGGCACACATGGTGCACATAATTTTTTGATTGTTTTTAAATCTATGTTTAATATTTTTGGTGCAGTCTAGTTGACAAAAAAGTTTTGAGAAACAATTTTTAATATTTACAATGGACAGGATGCACAACAATGCATTTTTGTTATACAGGGTGAACCAAATATCCTTCTGTGTATTCTTGCGTACAGAAGTTGCGTAGTTACAAGTATTATGGCATTTAAAAATTAAAAAATAATCAAAAAATTTGTAAAAAACTGAAAACCTGTCTAAACCATAGTAGGATACTGTTGCACCCTGTATATAAGATGTTGTTGCCCAAAAAGCATTATAGACTTTTAGAATGTTATTAAAAATTGTTTTAATATATACAGTGTGTCCTAGGATGTTTAAACAGCCTATAGCTGATCCACAGATAGAGTTGGAATGGAAATCTGGTATTCCAAACTCTATTAGTGAATACACCCTGTATATTTTTTTAATTCGGCGTGGAATAAAAAAATATTGATAACATCACAGTCAGAAGAGGCACTCAATTAAAAAAACATTTAAATATTTTTAATCACTAATTTAGAGAGATTTATTTTTAGAGTATTTTTTATCAAGAATAGCATTTAATTTTTTTAATCAATACTTTTAAAGAAATTTCTTTTTAGATTTATGATTAATAATTAGAGATATTTTTCGGTATACCTTACAATTAGTTTAGAAGTATCGTATCGATGTATGAAGAAATTCAATGGTTAAAAAAATTGTATTTTAGGGTTAGTATTTTGGACCCAAATTTTCAAGAAAGCAAAAATTTTTCGAAATTCTTTCAGAAATATTGTATTGACTTTCATCTAATTAGGCACTAACTAGTTTAAATAGAAATTACCTACCCTATGTTATTATTAATTTATTTTCGCTAAATATTATGTGCCCTTATTACCTTGGTATGTTTGAAATATGTATATATATATGTATTGACAATTGGAATAAAAATAAACACAGACATATTAAGTATGTATTGTGGTTGGAATATTGTATGTAATACTGGTCAACACAAATATTGGTTCCAAAGAAAAAATATTTATCTGAATATTGAATGAAATTCAACCAGTGAAACCTTATAAAAACCTTATAAGAACAAGGATTCTTATAAGGCCCCTTATAAGGAAAAAACGCCTTGTATGTTTGTCAATTCCAAAATTGTGCTATTTTTTGACAATTATAATAATAAGATTAAAATTTAATATGTTTATTTATATATTTTTATATTTTTTTATTTATTGATTGTCTTAACAAATACTAGTATTTTAAATTGCACACCTTTTATAATATATTTGTTAGGGATATTTATGTTTAAGCAAATAATTAAAATTAACATGTGCATATTTTTAAAATAGAACTACATCTAATAGTATATCACAGATTGCTTCATTTATATCTATTTTCCAAATTATAATTATTATAAATGGAAAAATTATCTGAATATTATAAAATCCTTTGTTTCATTTTGATATAAAGGAAAAATATCTTTTTATAGAAAATCATCTCCATGGAAAGCAACAAACCAATTAGAGCACGACATTCTCCACAGCACACTAGTCGCCATAAAGAATGCCTTGTTTTGATTGGTTTATTGCTTTCTATAAAGATTACCTTAATCCTAGAAACTTTTGTTTTGTAGAAAATAAAAAGTTGCTTTACTTTTGTCCAATGGTGTATATTGGACATGTTTCAAAAGAATATAAATGTGGAATCTTATCTCTACAAAAACGGACTTTATTTATTTTTATTTTAATAAAGCTTTTACCAAAGCAAGAATAAATATGAAATTATCACAAGAATAAAATAATTTCCATAAAACATCAACACTTAAAATTTTAGTATGCAATTTAATCTTTAATAAAAATAGTTAAATATAAAAATATATAAACGTTAATATAATACGGAATAATAAAACGTGTATATGATATATTTATAGATATGTTAAAAACGACAATTATTGCTCTTAACTATAGTTTATATATGTTATTTATATATTATTTCAACCTTTCTTGTTTCAAATATACCCGTAGTAAATACGCGGTAAATACTAATAAGATATATTATTATTTACAAAGCAACTTTTAAATAGTTTTTGTGCAAATAAACCAAATGGTACAGTCATGGACAATAGTACCATATAGGTCTTTCGTCTTATACTGTACCTTTATAAAATCTTGCAAATGTACATAATACGCTGAAGTAGAATATTAATGCTGAAGTAAATAGAAAATATTTTTTCATATTTATGGAATTAGACATCGTCTTCTAGTGGCCTTAAAATTTGGTGCTTCTGCAGTAGAACGTTAAGGACGTGCGTCAAGGCATCCAGTTTTTTATCCATCGATCCCAACTTAAAAATTTTTTTTTTTATTTTTGATATTTTTTATTTTTGAAGTGAAACTTCTTGCGGGCGGGGTAAAATTGCATTAATGGTAGGACAAATTTCCAAAATTTACATTTTTGAAGTTTTTAAAATTTTAAAATTACCAAAATTTATAAAATTTTATAATGCCAAAATTACAAAAATTAAAAACAGCTTCAAAGGCTTCAAACCAAAGCTCAAAAAGAGCTTTAACGCTAAAAATCTCATTAGCTTGATTGAGGACATAATATGTATCATATTTCTCATATCATAAGCCGATGAAGACAGCTTCAAAGCTTAAAAAAATCTTAAATGCTCTAAACCTTTGAAAAGCCTAATAGCTTAAAATATAAAAAGCTTGAAAGCTTCATGTTTCATATTTATCATACTATAAGTCGATAAAAACAGCTTCAAAGTTTAAAAGCTCAAAATATTAGAATCTTAAAAAAACCTAAACCTAAAAATCTGTAAAGCTTGATTAAGGATAATAAGGCATATTATGTATCATATTTCTCATACCATGAGCCGATAAAAACAGCTTCAAAGGTCAAAAAAGCTTAAAAGCTTTAAAAAGTTAAAAGGCCTAAAAGTTCAAGATATCAAAATCTTAAAAGCTTAAAAAGCCTTACACTCAATATTAAAAGCTTGAAAAGCTCAAAAGCTTGATTTCATAATTGTCACACCACAAGGCGATAAAAACAGCTTCAAAAGCCAAAAAATATCTCAAAGCTCAATAGCTTTAAAAATCTTAAAAGTTAAAATCTAAAAAGAGCCTAAGAGCTTAAAACATCAAAAGCTTTAAAGATTGATTCACATTTCTCATACCATAAGCCGATAAAAACAGCTTCAACAAAGCTCAAAATCTTAAAAGCTCGATTAAGGACAAATGTTTCAAATTTCCCAAAGCACAAGCCAATCAAAAAAACCTTAAAAGGTAAAACAAACTTCCAAAGGTCAAAAGCTTCAAAAATCTTAAAAGCTTGATAAAGGACATATAACACAGCTTTAAGGCTCAAAAAAAGCAAAATATAAAAAAAACACGAATTCAACTACATTGTCCTAAAGAAGTTTCACTTCAGCTGTAATGTATTTATTTTAATACCTGTTGTTCCACCCTGTATAATCTTGCGCCAACCGTCATAGGTTTGACATTTCCAACCCTGTCTATGCCGGCTAGATAACTACCCGGTTTGCCTAAAGTTTGGTCCAACCTTCTTTGTAACTCCTGAAAAAATAATAAAGGTGTAGTGGCTTTCTTATTTTGTGAATAACTCACAAACTATAAAATCTACAATCTTCAGATTTTGAATATATTTTAAGGATGTTCAGGTTAACGTCCCTATAAAATCTCAACATTTTATCATTTTTAGTTTTTGAGGTACAGGGTGTTAAAGTATAGCCTACCTTAATTCTAACCATCATGTTCAGATGTCCTTGACTATACTGTTCGATGACATCTCTGACGTCGTACGGCTTGCGAGCCTGCTGAAATTTCCTTCTCGCCACGAAATACTTGATTTTTCTGATGGCTCTTATGGCGTTTTTATGGGCTTCGGTTAACCTACATAAAACATTTCAGCTTGTTAAGCCCGAACGAGATAATTAGAAAGTTTTCGTACGTACAGTGTCACTCTTGGCAACTCCCCGTCATCGTCGATTTCGTCGCTGGGCGCTTCTGTGACTGTGCTGGTTTGGCTGGTGAAAATGGCTCCACGAACGCTTTCCCGCTCCCCTCGTCTTATCCTGTTCGGGGTACCTTTGTAAAACGCTGTTTAGATATTAAGTTCTTTCATTTAGAATTTGACAAGTTAAAAAGGTTTATTAAGACATTTAATTCGTTTGGGGATTGTTGGTACGAAAGGCCATTTAGGTGAAGTTTTACATAAAATTAATGGACAGATTTAAAAAGAGCAGGTCCTAATTAGTAAACCAGGAAATTTTCGTGAAAACCCGACCGTTATTAAGGAAGTTACGTAGCTTCAAGATCAGCTTCGAAGCTATGTAACTTTTTTATTTATGGTCCGATTTTAATGAAATTTTTTGGGAGTACTCATTAAAATACTCTTATATCGGAATTGTCATCAATTTGTATGCATTATTTTTTTTAAGGAAATCGTTTGAGCAAACACGTATACTCAAGTTTCTATCGCTAATATATTATAATTATAATTAGCATTGTAAAACTATTTTTTAAATCGCGCGTTTTTTTAAGTTTTTAAATTAGAAAATTTATAATTAACAAACAAATAACTAAATAAATTACACTATTTATATATATATTTATATATATCTCGTAAAAACAGTATTTAGAAAGTTGTGTATTAAATAATAAAAGTTATAATTTGTTCATACTGAGTAAACTGTAAATATTTGAATTTCAAATAAATATTCCATTTTGTATGTATAATTAATAAATATAAGATTGAACCATTAATTCGAATTAATTGCGATGGTTCTGTTAACTACATCATTTCTGTACGATTTAGTGCTTTTTGGAGTGATTCTTGGTGTCATATAATAAGTTGTCATCCCTTGGGGGATGATAGTTCAGGCCAAATACATACATTTCTCATGATGGAATTGGGGGAACCGTAAAAGGGTTGGTACGAAAGGCCATTTAGGTGAAGTTTTACATAAAATTAATGGACAGATTTAAAAAGAGCAGGTCCTAATTAGTAAACCAGGAAATTTTCGTGAAAACCCGACCGTTATTAAGGAAGTTACGTAGCTTCAAGATCAGCTTCGAAGCTATGTAACTTTTTTATTTATGGTCCGATTTTAATGAAATTTTTTGGAAATACTCATTAAAATACTCTTATATCGGAATTGTCATCAATTTATATGTATAATATTTTTTATTTATAAAATGTACAGGAAATCGTTTGAGCAAACACGTATAATCAAGTTTCTATCGCTAATATATTATAACTATAATTAGCATGGTAAAATTATTTTTTAAATCGCGCGTTTTTTGAGTTGAGCGAAGCACAAAGAGAAGACAAAATATTGGAAAATTAAAAAAAATTAATCATCAAGTTTGACTAACCTGCTTTGGGTTCCTCCATATAAAAAACCATCTCGTTGTCCTGATTGGACGCGATGTTGGACGAGGCATTGGCCGTCGGAACGACCGCAGTGCCACCTGTGGCGTTTGCCGGCGTTAACGGGGTATCTGGAGTGGCAGGCCCTGCATTCGGCGGTTCCATGCGGTTTCGCGATTTTCTTCTTTTCAGCACCGACGCCTTCTTGGCCACCTGCAATATCAGGGACTGACCCAACGTATGGCGACTTAACACCAAGACACCAAAACATCGCATACTAGATACTAGCCTAATGTTGTAATGGGTGAATATCACGAAATGTCCCCCGATGGTGGTACCCCGTGATATTTAATAAAACTAAATGTACTTATTGTGTTTTGATCTTTCATAATTAAGTAGATATTACAGCTCAGCTTCCAGATTTTTAACCGCAATTAATTATTTTTTACAATGTTTTAAAAGTCTAAAACCTATTCTCCGTGACTGTTACTCTTTCTAGGTTAACCTATATGTTTTCAAATATCTGAGGTAGTAAAAGCATACTAAAAATATCAGTTCACTAAGTAAATTAAACACACCCAAAGCAATCGAATCAAATATAAAATATTATTAAAAATTAAAAGAAATAATTCTTATAACCATTTATGTAGGTGTTACAAAAATTGATTCTATCCTCCGTGAATCTGTTTTTGCTTTAAATGTTATGCAACGGATGGCGCTTTAATCATTTTAAATAAGCAAAAACCTCTGTTTACGACATTATAGATGCATGTGATTCCTGAAGGTCAGTTAGAATTTATATGCAGATGAGAGTGTTGATGTTTTATAATTCAAAAGTTTAAGTTCATTAATTTGCTATTTAAAAACCTATCCACCGTGAAGTGTAATATCTCAGTAAGTAGATTTTTCAATAAATACAATTGTATTTTTAAAAAATATTAAGGCGTCAAAAGATACAATAACTTAATTTAAATATATAAAGGGATTTAAAAAAACCGTGAAGCTATCTTCCGTGAAGCTTTAATATTCAAAATGTATAATTTCTTAAAATTCTTGCATTAGTGCAGAACCACTTATGTTATGTTATTACTAGAACTGGTGGCTTCCCAAAAACCCCATTCTAGACTAACAGTGAAACAACCAAAAATAAAAAATAATCATTTTCACTTGGGGGACATCTCAATATATTCACCCTAATATAATAATGTTGGACAAGGCGGCACAAAAATCTTCATCCAATCCTACCTATAGGTATAAGAGTATACTCTTAATTGATAAAAATATGACATTGTTATAGGTTATAGCAAAGTTTAATTAGGATTAAACTTGTTAAATATATTTATATCCTATAGGACGGTTTTTTAATTAAAAGTCCATACTCAACTTTTTCAATTAATTTTTTAAAGTTTGCAATTTTTTTTGTTTTTTTTGTATACATATAAAGAATATAAATTTAAAAGACATTTTTTTCGACTACTAGATTTTATGTTACCAACACCATCTATTGTTCTTCCTATGGCCGCCATATTGGAATTTTATGTGATTGGAAAAAAAATGGATGAATTTTGTGCCACCTCGTAGATTTTAAAGAAGGTGTTCAAAAACTCAAGAAAAATAATTAAAAAGTTTACTTTAACATAATAGTTAATAAAAATTAATGTCTACTGGCAAAAACTCGACATGTTAAGTTTTCTTTTTTCCACCCTGTATATTATTCTTGACATTTCAATAATATTTGAGTTCTATATAGAACACCTCATATAAACATGATTCTGATTGCACAATAAACCTGATAATAAATTGGTTAGTTTCTTAATTTTTATTATTATCACCATGTAATCATCAATTTGAAGTACATAAATAAAATATACTAATTATATCGCGTTTTGAACGTAAACACTCAAATTACAAAGTTAACTACACTTAAGTACATATGTAGGTTTATTTATATTTCGCAAAAACAATTTATAGTTGTGTATGAAGCCTTGATGTGATTGTTGTTGTACACTTATTTATAAATAATAAGTTTTACATGTATAATTAATGAGATAAAATCATTTATTCAAATTATTTGCGATGGTTTTGTTAACGACATCATTTCTGTACGATTTAGTGCTTTTTGGAGTGATTTTTGTGACCACTTTTATTTTGTATTATAATTACAAATTGAGTTATTGGAAATGGAGAGGTGTTATTACCAAAAAAACAGTTTTTCCTTACGGAAATGCAGAGAAAATTGTCAAACAAAAACTTCATTTTGGCTTGGAATGGGCCAGTATGTACAAGTAAGTAATTTTCGTGTATGTTAAGGGCAGTCACATCCAGTGGATTCCTGGTTTTGTAATACAAAACTTTCTTGTTTTGGTGTGTAATAAACATATTTTAGTGATTTTAAAAAGAAAGGTCAAAGATATGGAGGTGGATATCTCTTCATGAAGCCCGTATTCATTCCTTGCGACTTGGACCTTATTAAAGACATTCTGCAAACAAATTTTAACAACTTTTCGAGTCATGGAGTATACTACAATGAAGAAGGAGACCCCCTAACAGCCCATCTATTTGCTTTGGATGGCGAAAGATGGAGAAATATGAGGGTCAAATTGACACCAACATTTACATCAGGTAAAAAATACAGAATTTTATTGAAAGCAAAACTAACAACCTTATTTTCTTCTGTAGGTAAAATGAAGATGATGTTCAACAGACTCATCGAATGTGGCGACATCTTCAAACAAGTCATCGAAAAACACTCAGAAACTGGAGACAAATTTGAAATTAAAGACCTGACAAGTCGTTTAACCCTCGACATAGTCGCCTCGACAGCTTTTGGGTTGGTTACGAACACCATAGAAGACCCAGACAACGAATTCGCCACAAAATGCAGGAAAATATTTTTACCCGGCTTACAGTCAATTATTCAGCAAGTTTTGCAATTCATTCTACCTCACTCGTTTTTAAGAATCGTTAATATTAAGACTGTGAACCCAACAGTCTCAAATTTCTTTTTGGATGTCATAGGAAAAACTGTGGACTACAGAGAAAAGAACAATGTGTATCGCAAAGATTTTCTTCATTTACTATTGCAATTGAAAAACAGAGGTTTGGTATCAGATGATGGGAAAATATTCCCTCAAAATGATAGCGAGAAGAACAGCGACACTTCCATAACATTCAATCAGCTGGCTGCACAGGCTTTTGTTTTTTATTTTGCCGGTTTTGATTCGTCCTCCAATTTAATCAGTTATGCTTTCTTTGAATTGTGCAATAATCCTGAGGTCCAGAAGAAAGTACAAGCAGAAATAAAGGATGTTCTCGAGAAGTATGATGGAGAGTTGACATATGATTCTCTCAATGAAATGAAGTATATGCATATGGCTATATTGGGTGAGAACAAATCGGAGTCCAAACTCTAACTTCATACTCTTTTTTTTGCAGAAACTTTAAGGAAGTACCCTTCAGTGCCAATACTTCCAAGACAGTGCACAAAGGACTACAAAATCCCCGGTACGAATAAGGTCATTGAAAAAGGTACCACCACCTTTATTCCATCCATGGCAATACACTATGACCCAGACATTTATCCCGATCCCGATAAATTCGACCCAGAAAGGTTTTCTGATGAAAATAAGGCAAAAAGGCATCCTTCAGCTTGGTTGCCTTTTGGATTGGGACCTAGAGAATGCATAGGTAAAAAAGTCTTCAAGTATTTTCTTATTATATTGCTCTTTTTATAGGATTGAGATTCGCCCTTATGCAAGTAAAAGTATGCCTAGTGAAAGTTTTTAAGGATTACGACGTCACTTTGAACGAAAAAACTATTGTGCCTTTGAGATTTCAAAACCATGGAATATTTTTGGTTGCGGAAGGTGGGATATGGATTAACGTGTCCAAACAAAATAAATAATTTTTTTTTACTAACTATTTGTAATTTTTAAGTTTCAAAATATATATTGGTATATTTGTAAGAATGTTTTTGTAAGCAAGTCTGATAATTAGATATTTATTGTAATTGAAGACAATTTGAGACATTTGAGTAGTTATAGGATGATAAATGAGAAGGGAATAATAAAGCTTGATTTAAATTATTTAAGAAGCTTACCGAAGTAGAATCATTGAAATTATGTAAAGTAAATTCATTTTGTTCCAAAATTCGACTAATCCACGTCTGGGATTTGCTCATTTTACCCATTACAGCGTACAAAACCATTAGGACTCGGTTATTTGTGCGATAGTCTTTAGTAGACTAACAATTTGTTTTATATTATATGAATTTATATTGATGGTTTCAATTATTATAGATCAAATAGCATCAAATGTTTAAAATAAATATCAAGGTATGAAATAAGCTCGTCAGCATACCCAGAAGCTATTGAAATAAATTATGTACACCACTAACTTTTTTCTGTGATAGTAAAGTTTTGTTAATCTATAATGATTAACAAAAATTAAATATTAAAACAGTAGGTATGCAATCAGAATCATAAAAAAGGATAATTTAAATTTCAAAATAATTACAGTATTTTAATCCCAAAAATCAAATGATCCTTTTAAAAACAGTATCAAAATATGATAATATATACTCTACCTACATGAGGACCTTAAATGATAATCCCTAACATTTCCCCAACACTAACCAACAAATTTAACACTAGTGTTCTTTCGCTCAAAATAATGAACGATGTATTCAAATTTATTGATTCGTTAGAGTCCTTATGATGTTATAATGCAAAGCAATCTACCTTATTGTACCTAAATTAATGAACGTAACGCTGCTGAACTCACCTTTGATAGCGGCATGTTGCAGTTTGTGCCGCCACTGGTTGATGAGTTCGGTAATTGAGATGTTAAACTGGAATCCTTTACATACAGCTGAAACGTAAATTTATGCAAATTAAGAGTTACCATAAACAAACTTAGTGCAAACCTTACAGGACCTTTCTAAACCCCAATTATAATAATAATCGTTATTTTATTATTTAGGGCAAGTTTTACATAAAATTCATGAACAGTTTTGAAAAGAGCAGGTCTTAATTAGTAAATCTCCAAATTTTCGCAACAATCCGACCGTTATTAAAGAAGTTACGTAGCTTCAAAATCAGCTTCTAAGCTATGTAACTTCTTTATTAATGGTTTGATTTTAATACAATTTTCAGGGCATAACAATTAAATTACGATGCTATTGAAATCGCGTACGTGGCAATAAAAATTGTACCCCGATTAAAATAATGGATAATATTTTATTATGTAGGGCAAAATTTCCATTAAATTAATGAATAGATTTAAAAAGGGCAGATATTATTTGGTATACCCTGAAATTTTCGAGACAATCCAAACGGTATTAAAGAAGTTACGAAGCTTCAAAATTAACTTTGAAGCTATGGAACTTCTTTATTCATGGTCCGATTTGAATGAAATTTTAAGAGTATACCAATTGAAATACGCTCTTATTGGAATTGCCACCGATTTGTATGCAAAATTTACTTTTAGATTATATTTACATTTTCTTGTGCTATGGTGCCAATTTTCCCATTTAAGGAATATTACTTACATGCCACGTAGCTTGTGAGTTGAAGCTTTTGTCAGCTGCATAACACCTCCACAGGCACTGGATGAGCATGGCTGCAGCTGGTATTTGGCGGTTGAAGTGTTTTTGACGTTGTTTTTGTTGTACTTTTAAAGCGAAGCCAGAACCTAATATACCCTGAAATAAATATTGTTCTTTAACGATTGTGCCATCTATCGGTATGAATAAAATATGTATTTTATATGTAAGCGTCTCCTTGTTTTGATAAATTATTTAATCAATTTTACTACTAAAACTAGTTTAGTTTGACATCAGATAAATATATAATTGGCCACGTAGCGTGGATAATTTATGACGTAAATAAATAATAAGACATTTCCACAAAATAAAATATTTACTTTATCTATTTGGAGTAAGGTCAAAGCAAAACAATGACAACTTTTTTGTTTACTTTTACAAAAAAAAACATAAATTATTTCAATAAGGTGCCAACATAAAATTATAGTTTAAATCGATAAATACAATGTAATTTAGGTTTGCGATGTTAAAGCGGTTTAATTAAGTATTTAAATCAGTGGATATTTATGTCCCTTATCCAATTCTCAAGAAAATTTATGGCCTAATTTAAGTTTAAACAGGCCCAATCCGTTTTTTGTATTGACAGCGGTTCCTGGGCGAAAATAAATAATTAATCAGTTGGAGTGTTTAACTAAAGGCGGGTAGTTTCACAAAATATCCATTAACAAATTTAAAAGAAGGAAGTTTTAATTAAGGTAACTCCAAGTTGTTGTAGCAATCGGACGATTACATAGCTTCAAATCAGCTTCGAAGGTATGTAACTTGTTTATCAGTCCTGTGATTTTAACAAACCAAGTTTTTAAATATTTAGAAATTAAAAATTTACCTGGAATGGAAAATATACAAAAATAAATAAACAGGAAAAAAAAGTTAACATTTTAATTTCCTGTTCGGTGGTTAAAGGTCGCAGGAAACGCGCTGAAAATTAATGGGGTAGCGATTTAAGTTGGCATCATTAAACGCATCAAAGTTTAATTTTAGAGAGTTTTAAGGGTAAAGGGGCGTAAATTTATTACTGAGATTTAATATTGTCTTAGACTTACTTACTTAAAAAAATCAAAAAAAAAAATTACAAAACAAACAGATTAATCCCTAAAATTTTCGCAACAATCCGACTGTAATTAAGGAAGTTACGTAGCTTCAAAATAAGCAATGAAGCTATGGAACTTTTTTTTATTTATTTATTATACCAATTAAAATACCCTCTCTTGTAAGTGTCATCGATTTTTACGTGAACATAATGTTTTGATAAAAATTTTACCACGATTAAAATAATAATTTATATTTTATTATTAAAGGCAAGTTTTACATAACATTCATTAACAGATATAAAAAGAGTGGGTCTTAATTAGTAAACCCTGAAATTTTCGCAACAATCCGACCGTTATTAAGGAAGTTACGTAGCTTCAAAATTAACAATGAAGCTGTGTAACTTTTTTATTTATGGTCCGATTTAAATGAAATTTTTAGGGTATACTAATTAAAATACCCTCTTGTTGGTATTGCTATCGATTTTTACGAACAAACAATTTTTTAATAAAAGTTGTACCACGATTAAAATATTAATTTATATTTTATTATTAAGGGTAAGTTTTACATAACATTCATTGACAGATATAAAAAGAGTGGGTCTTAATTAGTAAACCCTGAAATTTTCGCAACAATCCGACCGTTATTAAGGAAGTTACGTAGCTTCAAAATTAACAATGAAGCTATGTAACTTTTTTATTTATGGTCCGATTTAAATGAAATTTTCAGAGTATACTAATTAAAATACCCTCTTGTTGGACTTGCTATCAATTTTTACATACAAACAATTTTTTAATAAAAGTTATACCACGATTAAAATAATAATTTATATTTTATTATCAAGGCGAGTTTTATAACATTCATTAACAGATTTTAAAAAACATTTTTAAATGTCCTTAAACTTTATAGGCATTAGCCCTCCACAGGTTTTAGGCTTTTAGATTCCTAATTAGGCTAATATATTGGTTAACTCTCTCTCATTAGCTTGATTTGATTTATCTAGCAAAGGGTCCCGAACAATTACTCGAAAATGTATTGCGGTCATTTCATGCGATACAGTAAATTTCCTACCATCAAATTTGATATTCACGACCACGAGCGCTTTTAAAAGGGTCAATTTACAACGTCCCCCATTACTCAAATTTTACTCTTAACTGTTTTAACCTGAAATATCAATAGTTTGCTCTATCCATGCCGATTTTTGATTGGTCGCAGCCAGTCCGTGTCAATCATGTTTTATGGCCAATATGTCGATAACAAAAACTTAAATGAAGTTCTTCAATGTTTCTATTGAGGTGTCAAGTGTAAATGGTCACATTAAACGCAGTGGCTTTGATGTGTTTGACGGTGTTTATTAAGGTTTTTTAACACGTGTCATCGAGATTGAGCAACGAATATTTTCCAAATACTTTTATAAGGCTATTGCGCGGAACCGTTTAAACTTTAGAAAAATCCTAAAAGGACTAAAATGTTTTGATAAAAGTTGTACCACGATTAAAATAATAATTCATATTTTTTTATTAAAGGCAAGAGATTTAAAAAGAGTAGGACTTAATTAGTAAACCCTGAAATTTTCACAATAATTCGACCGTTACTAAGGAAGTTACGTAGCTTCAAAATTAGCAACGAAGCTATGTAACTTTTTTATTTATGGTCCGATTTGAATGAAATTTTCATGGTATACTAATTAAAATACCCTCTTGTTGGTATTGCTATTTTTCATACAAAAATTTTTTTAATAAAAGTTGTACCACGATTAAAATAATAATTCATATTTTATTATTAAGGGCAACTTTTACATAACATTCATTAATAGATTTAAAAAGGGTAGGTCTTAATTAGTAAACCCTAAAATTTTCTCAACAATCCGACCGTTATTAAGGAAGTTACGTAGCTTCAAAATCAGCAATGAAGCTATGTAACTTTTTTATTTATGGTCCGATTTAAATGAAATTTTTATGGTATACTAATTAAAATACCCTCTTGTTGGTATTGCTATCGATTTTACATACAAACAATTTTTTAATAAAAGTTGTACCACGATTAAAATATTAATTCATATTTTATTATTAAGGGCAAGTTTTACATAACATTCATTAATAGATGTAAAAAGGGTAGGTCTTAATTAGTAAACCCTGAAATTTTCGCAACAATCCGACCGTTATTAAGGAAGTTACGTAGCTTCAAAATCAGCAACGAAGCTATGTAACTTTTTTATTTATGGTCCGATTTAAATGAAATTTTCAGGGTATACTAATTAAAATACCCTCTTGTTTAAATTGCTATCGATTACAATTTTTTTTTAATAAAAGTTGTACTACGATTAAAATAGTAAATCATATTTTATTATTAAGGCCAATAGGCCAATGTAAAACTTGGCCAAGTTTTCCATAACATTAATAGATTTAGGAAGATTATGTCTTAATTAGTAAACCCTGACAATCAGACCGTTATTAACAAAGTTACGTAGCTTTAAAATCACAAATGAAGCTATGTAACTTTTTTATGTATTCTCTATCCATGCGGATTTTATAATGGTAGCAACGAGTTCATGTCAATCATATTTTATGGCCAATATTTGCGTACTAAGAAAATGTAATGAACCACTTTTTTACGATAACGAAAACTTAAATGAAGTTCCTCAAAGTTTCTATTGAGTTTTCAAGTGACAATGGCTTTGATGGCAGCTGTGTTCGGTGTTTATTAAAGCTTTTTAACAAGTGTCATCGAGATTTAGAGCAACGAAAATTTCCCAAACACGAAATTTTATTTTTATACGGATATTGAGCGTTACATTTTACAATATCTTAAACTATAGAAAATACTAAAACTGTTTGAAAATATATCTAAGTATTAAAGCTTGATAAAATATATACTTACGGCTGGAAGAGCAAAGAAAGAGATGGCAAACACGCTAAAACAGGATGCAACTATTTTTCCCATCCAGGTCCTAGGGACAGTGTCTCCATATCCTATCGTGGTTACTGTGATCACTCCCCACCAGAGGGCGTCAGCGTAACTCGCGAAATCTCCGGTGTTTTTACCGTCGGCGCCTACTGCGTCCTTTTCCGCCAAGTATACGAAGTAACTGCTGAAAATGAGGCCCAAAAATCCGATGTACAGAGTTGTGATGAGCTCCTAAAACAATCCAAAATGTGCCAGCTAAACTTTTAGATTAGATTTAGTACCACGATTAAAATAATAATTCATATTTTATTATTGAAGGCAAGAGATTTAAAAAGAGTAGGACTTAATTAGTAAACCCTGAAATTTTCACAATAATCCGACCGTTACTAAGGAAGTTACGTAGCTTCAAAATTAGCAACGAAGCTATGTAACTTTTTTATTTATGGTCCGATTTATATGAAATTTTCAGGGTATACTAATTACATACACTCTTGTTGGAATTGCCATCGATTTTTATGTTAACATAATGTTTTGATAACGATTACAATATTAATTTATATTTTATTATTAAGGGCAAGTTTTACATAACATTCATTAACAGATATAAAAAGAGTGGGTCTTAATTAGTAAACCCTGAAATTTTCGCAACAATCCGACCGTTATTAAGGAAGTTACGTAGCTTCAAAATTAGCAATGAAGCTACGTAACTTTTTTATTTATTGTCCGATTTACATGAAATTTTCAGGGTATACTAATTAAAATACCCTCTTGTTGGAATTGCTATCGATTTTTACGTACAAACAATTGATAAATGCCATTTTAGTCACGACTTGTCAATGTGTATTTGAAAGTTTGAGAGTGAAAAAAACCTATTACCTGTCTGTGTATGAAAACTACGGATCCCAATAATCTCCACGTGCCTCCTTGTCGATCCACGTGCAGCATTCGCAGTATTTGCAGGAACCTGATGCCTCTGATTGCCGATGTGGCGAAAACTTGGCCATTCGAGCCCAGTGTTAGCACCACTATCGAAGCCACTACCACAATTAAATCTGCAACAGTATACGTAAAATTAATTCTAAATTGTTAGAATTGTTTTTAGGTCTTTTGCTATAGCATATATAAAGGTATGTTTTTGTTTTGTTTTCATTTGTTTGTGCTGCTTTGTTTTTTTGTTGCAGTTGTACTGTAGGCACAATTAAAAATTGCTTTGAAGTCCTCTAAACTGTGTTCTTTTTAATCCCCAGCTTTATAAAGTATACGTATACCCGGACTGTTGACTAATATTTTATTAAGTCTTTTGTAGAATGTTTGAAATGTCATAAAAAATTTAATGTAATGTAATGGGGGTTGTTTCACTCTCCTCCCACTATACTAGAATTTTTAGTATTTAAAAAATGGTACTTCTGCTGAATACCTTAATTTAATTTAGTATTTAATATTATGACAAAAGTAGTTAAATATAGGTGACTACGGCCCAGAACAAAAAATAATTGTTGTACAAACATAACCTTAAAATCACAGATTTTTTATGTTTAAGTCGTCTAAAAAACGCCGACAACTGTATTTTAAAATATTAAACGACAACATATATCTACGAATTCATGGCAACATTATATTATACAAAATACATAATATAATACCAGTTTTTGGTTTTTAACCGTTGAGTGGAGACTTTCTTAATCAACGCTTTTTATAATGCCTAACGCTGTTTGAATTTTGAGGACTTAACGACTAAAATTTAACTCATTACTATATCAAAACTTTGATGATTGATTTTAATATTGGCTTTTGATTAAAATTATTATTCATCGCTGAATAGCATGTTAAAAGGAGGATTAAATTAATTTGCTAAAATCGTATAAATAATACACAAACACGACGCTTTGTCGATAATATATTATATAGACAACATAAACCTATTGAAATTAATATAATATAGAAACATTCTAAATTTAAATCGAAACCTACACAGTAACCATTATGTTATAAAGCATGAAATAAAGTTTTATCTTTTGGGTTTCGTATTTTTATTAAAAACAATGTTATTTCAAATACTTCTCTCGGGAAAGTCGAGCAATATTTGAAATATATATTTTTCTTGAACAAAGAAAAAGTATAAAATAACATTGCATATATGTAGTATGATTAGATTTACACCAGATGAATGATGAATATGGAATTTTATATTTTAATAAAACCAAACAAGTTTTTCCTCTATCACTGTTACATTAATGCCACTGTTTTTAAATAAAAAGATCATGAAAAATAGGTATTATCGATTTATAATACCAAAAGTTCAATATCCTATGAATTTATTTTTTAGTTTTGGTTTTAAAACTCCTGTTTCACATGACCGTCGTATGTCCCTCGAGCAAAATCCAAAATTTGCGATCTTCTAAAAATTTAATTCAACTTTTAAGGAGCCAATGTTTTACAATTGAGCGAAGCACAAAAAGGCACTTCTTGGCCGAATGGCATACAACATTTTATCTTCAAAGCACTTTATATAGGTCAATTTAATTCAACATCAAAGCGGCCTAACCTCACTTTTTTAGAATCTCATTTATCTATTAGCTAAAGATTACATTAAATGTACAATAATAATTATTATTATTGCTTTTAGAAGCAGTAATAGTTTGAAAATACCTAGCAACATGATTTAAGTAGAAATGGATTTTTGCTATTACATTGAATTCAATTAATTGTTTAATAAATAGGTAGGTATCTAATTTCAATTTGTTTGGATTTTTATTTAAAAAATGGGTAGTTTGGAATGTTTAAGCCGTGTTTAAAATTTAATTTCACTGAAAACTTAAAGCAAATTAAAACTTAAAGATAATTTAAATCGTAGAAAAAGAATCGTGCGTTTTCTTGGTTGCCTAACCACACTTTTTGTCTTATTATTCATATTTAATTTTACAATAATTTAATGAAAAATAATTAACATTAACAGTAAAACAAACAAATTATGGCTTATTATAAATAAATTAAACCAGTTTAGTACGTTAATTTCTTAGAAAAGGATTAATTTGTCAAAACAATACCCTTAGCGAGAAAAAATATTTCTTTATCGAATGTTGACAACAATAAAGTTTAAATTATAGACCGCGTGGAGGTAAAATATTTTATTATTGCAAATGGCGACAGATAATTGTGCATTGTTCAGTTAGTGATGTATTTACAGTTCATTTTGTGTATTTTGATATAGAAAAGGTAAGCTAAAGTTCTTCGTATTTTTTTTATTTTAATAAAAAGTTATAAATTGCTCGATATGTTTTTTTTGTTGTCAGTTGTTTACCGGTGGAAACTCTAAGAAAAATGTGCGAAATCACATGAAAAAAGTATGCGACGGTCATGTTAAAAATTTGTTTATTTTTATTTAAAACCCTGTATTCCTAACGCTAATTTATCATTGTACTGATGTACACAAATTAGACACCTATTTGGATCAAGATATTAAACTACCAAACATGTAACACCTCTAAAGGATTAAATTATTTCCCAACAATCACGATACCGATATTGATTGGCATTGAAGTGACTTTAAGGCCTCTTAGAATGTAAATATCTTTTGGTGATTCTTTGCACGTTGTAATATAAATCCCCTTTAAATGAACTATTGCTACCTTTGATCTCGATACTGTACACTTATATACTTCTATATTAATATTGCTAGATAAGCAGCATCTCGGTGTTTATGTTTACGTTTGTGCTTTTGATTTCATGCCTTTATGACTTTGAGTCTAGTTTAATATCCTATTTTACTTTGGAACGTATTTGTTTTAGGGATTTTTTCGCAATTTGGGTTAAGATTGCTTTGATATTTTCTTTGTTTTGTTTTTTTTTTTAGTTTTTTTTATTTATCGGGCGTATTCGGGTGAATATATTGAGATGTCCCCCAAGTGAAAATGATTATTTTTTATTTTTGGTTGTTTCACTGTTAGTCTAGTAATAACATAACATAAGTGGTTCTGCACTAATGCAAGAATTTTAAAAAACCATACATTTTAAATATTAGAGCTTCACGAAGGTTAGAATTTGGTATGTTTTTTTGAAATAAATTATTGTATCTTTTGACACCTTAATATTTTTAAAAAATACAAAAAAATCTACTTACTGAGATATTACACTTCACGGTGGATAGGTTTTTTAATAGAAAATTAATGAACTTAAACTTTTGAATTATAAAACAGCAACACTCTCATCTGCATATAAATTCTAACTGACCTTCAGGAATCACATGCATCTGTAATGTCGTAAACAAAGGTTTTTGCTTATTTAAAATGATTAAAGCGCCATCCGTTGCATAAAATTTAAAGCAAAAACAGATTCACGGAGGATATAATCAATTTTTGTAACACCTACACAAATGGTTATAAAAATCATTTCTTTTAATTTTTAATAATATTTTATATTGATAACTGATATTTTTAGTATGCTTTTACTACCTCAGATATTTGAAAACATATAGGTTAACCTAGAAAGAGTAACAGTCACGGAGGATAGGTTTAGGACTTTTAAAACATTGTAAAAAAAATTAATTGCGGTTAAAATCGTTCTATTCTGATAAAATTTGAATATTGCACTTACCAATAATACAAATTGGTTTTCTGATGAAGCGGAGTCGACCCCAGAATCCCATGTACTTTGAACGACAACCAGCAGACCACAGTCGCACCAAATATTCTACCCCGAAAAAAACTACCAGGCAAATTTCCTGAAAGAAAAAAAATAGTAGTCACAAAGCAATGCAATAGAAAATGTAATGATAAAAAAGTAAGTAAAAATGTACGTAACAAATTATAGGTAGGTATCCGGGATTTGTATTAAAAGTCGTCCTTGTTAATAAGCCTCAGGTGCTCTTAATTCTCTCGAGCAGAATTTTATATACCCCTACTTTACATTTTACATGCATAATTTAAATATTAAAGAAATTGCCTGATACTTATCCTGTATATCCTGTAAAATAAATATAGTTGAAATATCTCAGTTAGTATGCATTCTACGAAAATATGTTTGTAATAGATGGCGTTGTAATGAAAAAAAATCAATTTTGTTCAATTTTTCTTCTTATACGATTCTGCAATAATTTTTCTATAAAAATATCACTTTTTTGGTAATAATTATCTTATTAAATTAAATCTGATTTTTTAAGTACCCACGATTTTTTAACTTATATTTAAGTTTCCTTTGGTTTAAGTTTTATACATTATCTCATTCGGTGATAATTATCAATTGCGCACCATGGTCACTTTTTACCTGCCAGCATTAAATCCTTTAATTTAAAGGATTATTGTACTATTTTTAATAAAAATACCTTATTTAAGGTAAAAAAAACATTATTTTGTCAATTAATTAATTTAATCCTAATTGAGGTATAAAAAATGGTATTTAGTTATAAATAATAATTATTATTGAGGTATAAAGAAACTATTTATACATAGTTTAGCATTATTTAACCAGTTTAGTTCGAAGATTAATTTGCAAACAAAAAGACCTCCTTTCGTTAAGCAGTTATTCATAATGTATTTTTTAACAGTGGAAGAAAAAATAGAAATGTTTTTGATTTATGGAAAAGCAGGCAGGAATCTTGATGATGCTGTTAATATCTACGCTCAGCGTTTTCCGGAAAAAATTCGATCACGTACTTCATTCACCGTACAGTCGAGCAGTTTACTACAAACGGGAGTGTTCAACCGAAAAAAAGAGTTTGTCGAGCAACAGTCACAGGTGGAAGAAATGAAATTAATGTATTAGCAGCAACGGCCGCTAATCCTCATGCAAGCACACGAGAATTATCTAGAGATTTGGGATATCCCAGAGCAGTGTTAGCAGAATATTAAAAGTAATAAATTAGTAATAAAAATGTTTAAGAAAAATGTGTTTGGTTTATTAAATTGAGACCGTGTATAAATTTTACAATATTCGACAATTTGTTCGGGTGTGAAGCATCACACCACCTAAGATAACCAATGAAATGATTTCCCGCTTAAAATAAGACGCCGGCCGGTCGCTTAACTGCAATCTGCATCATCAGTTTGCAGTTTTAGTTAGTGTTAGGTAGTGTATCATTGTGAGGTTAGTACCACATTTCTGGTGAGTATTTTTTGAATATTATTTTTCCGAATAGGTGCAAAATTGTTCAGGGATTGGGATAAATCAATAATTATGACCTGGTGATCAAATGAGGATAAAAAGTTTTTCTATGTTCCTACTGTGCTACATTATTGACCAGCTTATTATTTACTTTACTTTGTAATTTTTGTTTATTTTATGTTTTCAGTTTATAATAACTTAATTCTATCCCTACAAAATTTTTGTGTTGGTCGCTGAATACATATTTAATCTATCGACATTTGTACTATTATAAGCGGAGACGCACTTTATGTTGCATTATAGGTATCTCAATATTATTAGAATTAGCTATGCGAATTTTATTTTTCAGTTTGTAGTTTATGTTTTGTTATGGTTTTTTTATGTTGTCAGTGTCAGTTTATATTAGTTTAGGTATTCTATTTTCCATGTGTTATGCTGAAAAAACAAAATGGATTTATCTAGTGTTGCTTGAATTGATAGAATTTATTTCCATTTGCTTGAAATAAGAATAAAAAAACCGTTTTATCCGTTGACCTATACAGGGTGATCCAGGATTAATCTGAAAAATGTTAATGCCATTTAGGTGAATTTAAAATAATAATAATGTGAATTTATCTTATTTTTACTGAAACAAGAATTTAAATTGTATTAATTTGGATGTATCTGCTTTTGCTTGATTTGCTAGGTTTCGAGACCGGTATTCTATATCAATTACTTGGTTTGGCTCAATTCTTAGTTCAACAATGGATTAATCTTACCTCATTTTCTGTTAGTTCATTTTTCAACAAAACTGGATTTATTATGTTTTATAGTACAAATTTATCGACTGTATTTTATAAAAGACAAGAAGGATTCATCCTCATAATTTAATAGTATATTATGGATAGGGATGGGATTTTAGAGGTTTTTGCTTTAAACTACCTTTTTATACTTTTGTTACATATTTTTTTATTTGTCAGTTTATTTTCACATATTTGATACCGATTTTTACGTATATTTACTTATTTTATTTTTTGTGTTCTTTTTAAATTTTGCACCAATATTTTATCCAGGGCGTGCAACTCAACGGTATAGAATTTTTTCTTATGGTTACAGACTGTAAGAGTAACTTTCTTTACAGTTACCTTATTTGTAGTGAGCTTATGTTCTGCCATAGAACTTCTGTGTAGTGTCACTCAGTGAAACACAGTTTATTGCATAGAAATAGTTTATTGTGGGTATGTTCTGTGTTTGGGTATGCGGCTATACAAAAACTTGAACTTTTAATGTTTTTTTAACCTAAAATGCTTTTTTTAGTACCTTTTTAGTTACCTATTTTTCAGTTTTTAGTACCTAAATATCCCATCTTTAATTATGTATCAAGTTGTGCAATTTCACCACAAAATATTTTATTACAAAGTCTCTAAAATACTCATTTACTTACACAAATTATATGAGCCGATAAGATTAAAATATGTTCAAATGTCAAATAAATCATGTAAGTTTTAAATATAAATAATATAATAATGTAATAATTTGTTGAACAAATTCATACAGTTATGAAACCTTTTCTCAGTGTAGGCTATGATGGCAGGGCGTGCGGTTTTGTATTATTTAATCAGGACCGCAATCCACATGGGTTGTGATCAGGACGAGATGACGACTAGAAACTCGCCCACCGCAAGTGGTGGCACATGCAGATCAGGGGCGGCCAGTCTCGCCTGTCACCATTGTTCGAAGCATTTCCATTACGTATAATGTTTTGTCCCCCTTTCCCTGAATGCACACAACACTATACGTATACCTGCGTTGCCGCTATTTGCTTAACAAATAGATTTTCAATGGATGATAATTATTAATGGAGGATCTAATTAAGCCGCCCACTGCGACACGCACACAGTATGCATGAGGGACACTTTTTAAATGGGTTATAAAATACCGATCTATAAGGACTATAGAAATAGAAACTGTTAGCTACTTAGGTAATAATTAATTTAATATAAAATAGTACCTATATTATGTATCAAGTTTGATAAACGCCATTTTATACACAAATTTAATTTAATGAGTGTATAGAAAAGTTTACTTTTTTACTTTTTCTTCGACAAATACTTATTATTATCTTAAAATGATTTAAATCAAAAATTTGTATAGAGCGCCATCTATGAAACAATAGGGGAATCTGTGTGTCACCGTCAAATGTCAAATTTTTATATTTTATAAACACAGATTGTAAAGGTTATAAATCGAAATGTATTTCTTGAAAATTGACAGTTTTTCACAGTGAAAGTAAAGAAAATGTTTTATGAGCACTAGCAGTTTACTGCCGGCGAAATTAAAAGGTCAGTACAATGTTCATATAAGCTTTTCAAATATTGGCGTTGAGAAACTATTTAATACTTTTGTATTTTTGTATTGAGATAATAAAATAATTTTCACATTTAGTATTATTTTACAAGAAAGGCACTTTATTTTAACGATTGTATGACATTTGACAACTGTCAACTAACTTAAAACTAAATTCAGCCCGTGACTAAAAACCTGTTGCTAACTTCAGCCCGCGCCATAAAGCCACAACTTGTCAATGTGTATTTAAAAGGTCACTTAGTGTCATGGAAACATGTACGATAAAGGGCGTTTTAAAGGTGGGAGTAAAAAAAATATTTTAAATTATGTCGATAAATTTGTACTATAAAACATAATTGTGAAGCAATCAGACAAAAGCAGAAAAACCCAGTTTTGTTGAAAAATGAAGCAACAGTAAATGAGGTAAGATTAATCCATTGTTGAACTAAAACTTGAGCCAAACCAAGTAATTGATATAGAATACCGGAATCCTGGACCACCCTGTATAGGTCAACGGATAAAACGGTTTTTTTTATTCCTATTTCAAGCAAATGGAGATAAATCCTATCAATTCAAGTAACACTAGATAAATTCATTTTGTTTTTTCACCATAACACATGGAAAATAGAATACCTAAACTAATATAAACTGACACTGACAACATAAAATAAACATAACAAAACATAAACTACAAACTGAAAAATAAAATTCGTATAGCTAATTCTAATAATATTGAGATATAATTCATGAAGTGCGTCTCCACTTATAATAGTACAAATGTCGATAGATTAAATATGTATTCAGCGACCAACACAAAAATTTTGTAGGGATAGAATTAAGTTAATATAAACTGAAAACATAAATTACAAACTAAAGTAAATAGTAAGCTGATCATTAATGTAGCACAGTAGGAACATATAAACACTTTTTATCCTCATTTGACCACCAGGTCATAATTATTGATTTATCCTAGTACCTAAACAATTTTGCAAATACCCACCCACCTATTCGGTAAAATAATATTCAATAATTACTCACCAGAAATGTGGTACTAACCTCACAATGATATACTGCCTAACACTAACTAAAACTGCAAACTGATGATGCAGATTAATTGAGCGACCGGTAGGCGTCTTATTTCAAGCAGGAAATCATTTCATTGGTTAGCTTAGGTGGTGTGCGGAATTGGGTAGTTTTTTTAATTTTCTTTAATTTTTCCATAACGTGAAAATTGTACGAGTTGATAAATTTTCCACTTTTTTGCACTTGTACCCTTTTGCTTCTTACCTCAACAATATTTTAGTTAGGAGGAGCAACCTCTAATGAAGAAGTAAGAATTAAGAAATGCTTGAATGTAATCTCTTGTATAATAAAATGTTTATATTTTAATATTTTTTTATATCTATTAAAAGTTTTGGTTTAAAATTTTTATAAAACTCTTAGAAATTTATTCATTCATTCATTATTTTAATTTGTCCATTTTACGATTTTTTTTTACTTTTAACTATTCTCTACAAAAATTATAATTTAAAAACGCATTACCCTAATTTTGGTTTTAAGCGATTTTTCTAAAACACTGCAAATTTCCCATAATTACCCCTTTGATTGGAAATTCTAAATAGCATTCGAAATCTCGACTTTTATACTCGAATACTTCCCTTTCAGCCATTCAAAAATTCCTCGCAATTCCTTTTAAATCCGCCAATTCACTTTTCCTGCTCGTTTATTTTTTTCATGCCGCCTGTATTGTAAGGAAGTCTAATTTTAAAACCCCATTTAGTTTATAATCTTAAAGTTGCAGCCATTGGCGGGGGTGGTGATATCGATTTCTTTCAGGTGCACCAACAATTATATTTTCTATTACAAACGTGTTTTATTTATGGATCAACGGTAAAAGGCGCTTTGCACGGCACGAGCTAAAATCAGTTGTATTGTTTAAATGGAAAGTCGAAGTCAAAAAGGTTTGAAAAGTAGAGAAAGTTTCTCTATGGTTTTAAAGTAAAGTTTTAAATGATTACTCTCTAAAAATGAATTAGTCAAAAATGACTAATTTAATAGTTTTAGTGGCTGCTTTTTCACTTGTACCATGGTTAACCATGGAATACCATGGAATCCCAAAATTTAACAGCCAATTCTTATGTAAAATTGTCCCCTGAATCCGAAAACACCGTCAAAAATTATGAAAGTAGAGCAGTTTTTGAGATATAGTCAATTCCATATAAAATGAAAAATTGAAAATATCTCAAAAACTATTCTGTTTTTTTACTTTTGATGACATTTTCGGATTCAGGGGACAATTTTAAATAAGAATGTTAAATTTTGGGATACCATAGTATCCCATGGTTAACCATGCTACAAGTAAAAAAGCAGCCACTAATAACTTATCATTTTTGACTTATTCATTCTTAGAGAGTAAACACGACCTAGCAATTATTAATAGGTACGTTAAAATTAATAACGAAAAATAAAAAAAAAATTGAAAAATTGAAAAATTAAAAACAAAAATTGAAAAATAAGAAATGAAATGAAATGCAATGAAATGAAATGAAATGAAATGAAATGAAATGAAATGAAATGAAATGAAATGAAATGAAATGAAATGAAATGAAATGAAATGAAATGAAATGAAATGAAATGAAATGAAATGAAATGAAATGAAATGAAATGAAATGAAATGAAATGAAATGAAATGAAATGAAATGAAATGAAATTAAATGAAATGAAATGAAATGAAATGAAATGAAATGAAATGAAATGAAATGAAATGAAATGAAATGAAATGAAATGAAATGAAATGAAATGAAATGAAATGAAATGAAATGAAATGAAATGAAATGAAATGAAATGAAATGAAATGAAATGAAATGAAATGAAATGAAATGAAATGAAATGAAATGAAATGAAATGAAATGAAATGAAATGAAATGAAATGAAATGAAATGAAATGAAATGAAATGAAATGAAATGAAATGAAATGAAATGAAATGAAATGAAATGAAATGAAATGAAATGAAATGAAATGAAATGAAATGAAATGAAATGAAATGAAATGAAATGAAATGAAATGAAATGAAATGAAATGAAATGAAATGAAATGAAATGAAATGAAATGAAATGAAATGAAATGAAATGAAATGAAATGAAATGAAATGAAATGAAATGAAATGAAATGAAATGAAATGAAATGAAATGAAATGAAATGAAATGAAATGAAATGAAATGAAATGAAATGAAATGAAATGAAATGAAATGAAATGAAATGAAATGAAATGAAATGAAATGAAATGAAATGAAATGAAATGAAATGAAATGAAATGAAATGAAATGAAATGAAATGAAATGAAATGAAATGAAATTCGTTTAAAAATAAACAAATTGTAATAAAAATTATTGCATTAAAAACTGCAAAAATAAAAAATAAAAAATTGAAAATGTAATAAGATCGTTTGAAAAATTGAAAATAAAAAATGAAAAATAAAAACTAAAAATGAAATGAAATAAAATTGTTTGAAAATAAATAAATTGTATTAAAAATTGCATTGTGTAAAGGAACTGCAAAAATTAAAAATGAAAATATAAATATGAAAAATGAAAATGGAAATATGAAAAATGAAAAATAAAAATGAAATGAAATAAGATCGTTTAAAAATAAACAAATTGTATAAAAAATTGTAATAAAATAGTGCAAAAATGATAAATGAAAATATGAAAAATGAAAATGGAAATATGAAAAATGAAAAATAAAAAATGAAATGAAATGAAATTGCATTCTGTAAAGGAACTGCAGAAGTAAAAAAGTAAATTGAAAAAAGAAATGAAATAAAATAAGATCGTTAAAAAATAAACAAGTTGTATTAAAAATTTCATTGTATAAAAGAACTGCAAAAATGGAAAATTAAAAATGAAAAATAAAAAGGCAAAAATTAAATTAAATAAGATCTTAAAAAAATAAAAACTATTAAAAATTGCATTGTGTAAAGGAAGTGCAAAAGTAAAAATGAAAAAAGAAATGAAATAAAATAAGAACCTTTAAAAATAAACAAGTTTTAATAAAAATTTCATTATATAAAGGAACTACAAAAATGAAAAATGAAAAATAAAAATACGAAATGAAGAATGAAAAATGATGAAAAATAAAAATGAAATAAGAACTAAAAATAAACAAACTGTATTAAAAATTGCATTGTGTAAAGGAACCATAACTACACAAAACTGCAGAAACAAAAGTTGTTGTGTTTTCTTTAGAAAAACTTTTTTATCCATTAACTAATTGTGTGTAATTCATAATGCATTTTATTGTGCTCGAAAGAAAATTACCTTTTGAATTTAAAAATAATAGATGTTTTACGTAAAAAGAGGAAAATAATATTTTTTATGGCATATAATTAATTATAGAAAAATTCATTGCCCATTTAAAAAACTAAAATGTACGCGAAAACTGTTTTTAATTAATAAATAACTTTTTTGTAGATAACATGTACAATGTACATTGTACATTAAACTTTTTGAACGTCTGTTATTTTTTCAGTTAACACTCTCCAATAAAGGTCCATTTAAATAAACTTTCTCGACTCGTATCAAAGTTAGTTTTACGATGGGGCATAAATTCGTGTTTGCCGATTGTTTCGCGAACAAAACAGCATAAAATTTAACGATAATTATCCACTTGCAGACTTATAAAACCGCCTAAAAACCCGTCTACAAAACTAATAATCAATTGTCGAACAAAAACCTATTGTTTTATCTATTCATGCGTTAAGTTTCGTTCGGACGTAATCAAACAAATTTTCTTCGGTATTTTTTTACGTTTGAAGCTTAATGGAGCGCACGGAACAAATCGGGGAGGAAAGGGTCTAAAACGACTTACCATCCAAAAAAGCGTCTCGTTCGCGAAATTCGAATATGTGTCGATCGTTGACAGTACGCTGAAGATTAGGCACACTAAAACTAACATAAACCTGAAACAGAAATAAATTATTATTAACATTATTAAAGCACACCATTGTTCTGAAAAAGAATGGGGGTATTTAAATTTAATGGCGCAATCAATTGATCAAATAAAGGGAGAGATGTCCGAAATAAAGTTGTGTAAAGTGAGTTGTCCGTTTTCAACATTTCCAGAGGAATAATTTAAAAACCCCAGGGACCGTCGATTCCTTCTCAAAAAGGGGGAAAGAAACCAGTCACTATCTTATTGTTTAAGACAATCTGTTCTTGTAACTTTCAATCTCAAGTTCTACATGCGATCGGCGAAAACGCGTTTTCAACTTTAATTTATAAACTAGGTTTTCCAAGAGTTTCCAGCAATTGTTCCACTAATGGCCGTATGCAGAAAAAATAGTTAAGATTTGTTGGCAATATTGATATTTTGGATGAATTATTTTTTTAATTTTTATTTAAGTTTATCTACTACATACCACAAAAAAAATATGATTTTTTGTGCTGCCATTATTAAAAATGGTTCTTGAAATTTATCTCTATCTGAAAATACAGGGCTGTCCAGAAAAAAAATTTCTTCAATGTAAATTAAGATATAGCGCATTATTTCGGTCTCAGGAGTACGAGTAGATATACTAAGGGGGTTCTGGACCACTAGTTCAGTTTTTGCCCGCAGAGGGCGGCACAAGTCGCTGTCCGCAATCTTATATAAATGTAGTGTCTCTATATTTCTCTTTTTTCATAAAAATCTCGTCATATTTGATTTTTGTGTTTGTAATGATTCCCAAACAGTTAATTAATAACCTGCACTTTGAAACAAACAAAACGAAAAAAAATTTCAAGATGTTAATAAACTGATAAAAATTATCGATAAATTAACACGTTCCCGTAGAATACAAACAAACCACACTAGAAGGTTTTTCATTTAATAAATAGGTAGCTGGTTGACAGTCAAACTCATTTACCTATTTCATTTTTCTTTGTATAAAATCAATTTGTATTCAAATAGCCTGATAAAATCAAGGACTGTTGTCCACTTTGTGAATTATCGACCCTTTAAATGGTTTATGTTGTCGAATCGTTTTTAAATAATTTTTTCTACTCCCACCTTTAAAACGCCCTTTATCGTACATGTTTCCATGACACTAAGTGACCTTTTAAATACACATTGACAAGTTGTGGCTTTACGGCGTTTTAGTCACGGGCTGAAGTTTTAAGTTAGTTGAGCTGAATCGCTAAAATAAAATCAGATTCAAACGGTTGTTAGTCCATTTTCAAGAGATAAACTTCGATTTAATGATACAGATTCCCAAGTTACTAACTTGAAGTTAAAATGGTTAATTAAATTTATTGTTTTAAGATTGTAGCTCCATACAAATATTTAAGTTACATTTTTTTAGATAATGATAAGTATTTGTCGTAGAAAAATTATAGTATGCAACTCGTTTATAAACTTTTCTAGGCACTCATTTAATTAAACAATCGCTCGGTATTTAAAAATAATTCACTCCTTAATATCAATAAAAAAATTAATGTTTTATTAATAATGTGCAAATGAACATTTCTGCACCGCTAGATTAAAAAATCTATCTCGTAAACTTTTAAAGTTGATGAAAATATCAAAGGATGTTAGGAAATGAATGCAATAGGCAATAACCTTCCCATTATCGTGCTGCTATTCGTCATTGTTGGGGCATTTCATGTGAAGCGAACAACGAAAATATACACATGCCGATTTGGACTGAACGGCCAAAAAGAGGCCAAAATTCGCTAAAAAAAAACTAATAAAGATATCATTATAAAATTTTAACACCACATTTTTGTGGTATTAATCATGATCCTCTACAAATTTTAATTGAATTGGTTCAGTGGCGGCGATTTTATAAGGGTTTAAATGATTAAAATCTTGTTAAAGTAAGTTAGAGATTAAATGATTTTAAAACTTCCTAAAATATAATTGTGGAACTTTAAAACAAGTTTTTATTTCAATATTCTTGATTCCGTACCAATTTTAATTTAATTGAGTCAGTGGCGGCGATATGAAGTGGACATAATTAAACGATTTTGTACAATTATGTCCGTCCAGACAAAATCATTTAAACACAAATGAAATTAATAAAGTTTATAATTATATAAGAGTGTCAAAAAAAACTTAAAGAACAATAAAACATTTTAGTGCTTGACTAGCCATTGTTATCTTAGTAGCTGCGCGTTGCCAGTTGTTAAAAATTGTTACTACAAATTTTTCTTGCAAAAAAAAACAAAAACTTAATAAATACAAAAGTGTTATGCCCTAAGCTCTAATACCCTTCTGTATTTATTTACTCATTCAGCTATTGGCTTAAGCAATGATTAGAAAATTTAGTACCTATTTTAAAAACTCCATAACCACAAAATTAATTTTTTCATCGGTTTTTTCTTTCTGTTTACTCAGAAGAAATTAGGACAAGTTCACAGGTTAAACTGTAAACATTCAATTGATTTAAATAAATCCAAAAGCACTTCCCTTAGTTAAGATATTTACAATTTGGGCCCATAACCTATAATTTGAAAGAAATGCAGTCGATTCTGTCATACAGTTGTCAGATTTTGTTTGAATTTACCTTCATTACAAAAATGACAAAATAAACAATTAATAATTTTTTTTGTCATTTTTGTAATTACTCTAAATTTAAACAAAATTTGGCTACTTTTTTGACAGAATCTGGAAACGCTCGTTATTACCAACCATAACATAATAAATTAAATTAGGCAACCAGATTAGCCTAAAGTGACTAGTCATCAGTGGCGTACTTTTTGGTAGGATAAAGGTTAATATTTTTAGTCCTAAGAAAAAAAAATGATTTTATGTTGTAAAATTTAAAATATACTTTTGATTCAAAATAAATAAGATCCCAGGGTATTAAATCTAATCAGTATAGTAAAAAAAAGTTTTACACTAAACTAGCGTGTTTTTCCCAAAATTATCCTTAATTTCTGTAAAACACCAAATAAATTATTTAACATGGAATCGCCTTTACAACAATAACAATTAATCCGAAACAATAGTAACGAGAAAATCGCATGCTCCTTGGAGTTTCATTATCAATAATTATAATAACTATCATGGAAAGTTAGTTATTCGTGTATCGTGACCGTTTGCAAAATTCGTGCAAAATTATCGCAAAATCTTTTATTATGCAAATCGTTACGTTTTGATTATGTAATTTTAACCTTTGCGACCTACAAAACTATAACGGAAAAAACATCCCGAGTTCCGTTCGATCTCCTGGTACAGAAATTCGAATTTTCGTGTTGATATGAGGCGCATGTTTCACAAAATACTCCTTTAGTGCGGGCTTCTTGGTGACCCTTGAGCAAGAAGACTAAATGCAGGGTGAGTAACCTGCTAGGTGGGGGGCCCCCACTGGGGGCACACAAAAAACCGTACAAACAATGTTTGTACGTATATACGTCAGTAGTGACTTGGTGATGCGCAAAATGCTTGTGCGCACACTCTGTCCCAATGTTGCCAGGTTAAAAGACTTAAAATCACCAAACACTTGCTTTAAAAGTTTTTGTGTTTTTTCGATTTTTTTTCACAGGAAAAATTAGATGCCCGAATGGTATTTGACAAGACTATTTCATGAGTAACAGTTAACAATTAAAATATAAATTGCAATTTTTGGTGACAATAGCTGTCAAGTTTTGCCGCGGGTAAACTCGAAAAAACTGCTGACAGGTGCTGTCACACAGTTTTTTCACCTAGAAACCATTTGTAATTCAAAATTGCGCGTTTGTGATTGGTAGAAATTAAGACAAGGGAAATAGTCTATAAAAATATCACTTTTTTTGTAATAATTATCTTATTAAATTAAATCTGATTTTTTTAAGTACCCACTAATATTTAAGTTTCCTTTGGTTTAAGTTTTATACATTATCTCATTCGGTGATAATTATCAACTGCGCACCATGATCACTTTTTACCTGCCAGCATTAAATCCTTTAATTTAAAGGATTATTGTACCATTTTTAATAAAAATACCTAATCTAAGATAAAAAAACATTATTTTGTCAATTAATTAATTTAATCCTAATTGAGGTATAAAAAATGGTATTTAGTTATAATAATTATTATTCAGGTATAAAGAAACTATTTATGGTTTAGCATTATTTAATCAATTTAGTTAGAAGATTAATTTGCAAACAAAAAGACCTCCTTTCGTTAAGCAGTTATTCATAATGAATTTTTAACAGTGAAAGAAAAAATAAAAATGATTTTGATTTATGGAGAAGCAGGCAGGAATCTTGATGATGCTGTTAATATCTACGCTCAGCGTTTTCCGGATAAAATTCGATCACGTACTTCATTTCACCGTGCAGTCAAGCAGTTTACTACAAACGGGAGTGTTCAACCGAAAAAAAGAGTTCGTCGAGCAACAGTCACAGGTGGAAATAATGAAATTAGTTAATTGTTATTTTAAAATTTTTTTTGTAAAATGCATACTAACTGAGATATTTTAAAGTTTAAAGTCACCATGTATATAGGTGTTAATGCCGCCGACCTATATAACCTAACATTTAAACTAACCTCATAAATTTTACCGTGTCTTTTGTGCCATGTAATGGCCTATATAACCGCAAAAATGAAATATGTCCATCATAAACCATCAGCGCGATATGTTCGTCGTATTTTTTGCGATTTGCCTTACAATTTCTTAATGTCAGCGTTTTATGTTGGAAGAACTTCATTTTAAAAATAACGACCGATTTCAGTTTAAAAGTCTAACGCTGATTTTATGTAACGTTCTCAATCAAATTTTTATTTGTCGGGTGTGAAGTTAGCAAATCGCCGTTTGATGAAATTTTAATTTAATATTTTACGATTGCACGTGTCACTTTTATGCCCAAATCATTTTTTATTACCTACTCAGTTTATTTCTTTAGAAATAAGTGTTTAAAATGTGTACTGATACCCCTACTAAAGCATTATAAATAAAAAAAATAAAACTAAAAAAACAAAACAAAGAAAACCTAAATT